TTCTTCACATTTTCTCAGCTTCTAATTTAGGAGACTGCAATGTTAGCTGCCCATTGGCGTTACCTGAGTTTTTTTTTTTTTTTTTGTTATTGTTGATTTTTTTAAATGTCAATACTTATATTCCATTTTGAGATTATCAATTGATTGATTTTTAGGGTGGGTTTGAGTCATCTGGTTTTTTTTAAAATTCTTTTTATAGTTAGAGATTGACAGCATGCCTTTATTTGTTTAGGTTTTGTTTTTTGGTTGTTAGTTTTTTGTGTTTTTTTTTTTTAATGTGGTGCTGAGGATCAAACCCATTGCCTCACACATGCTAGGCAAGCGCTGTAACACTGAGCTACAGCCCCAGCCCCATCTGGGGTTTTTTAAAGCTCCTTGGGTGCATCAAGAAATTCAAAGCACTGCCACCTATGAATGTATGGTAAGTTTCCATCCCCTGGTGAGAGGAGGGAGTCAGACTGCAGATGAGTGAACGTAAGTGCAAAGAGGGAAGGTAATAGAATATCGTCCTAAAATATCCTGATCCCTTTGCTGCCTAACATGGAAGCATCTCATATCATTGGTCGTCCCCTTCTGGAAGGTAAAATAGAGTTGTTAGGTTATGCCCACTTCATAATATGGCTCTTACTCCTTAGCTTTTAACATCTAAAGAGTTAAAATATGACAACAGACTGGATCTAATGAAAGAGTGAAAACTCTTAGTAGAATCCCAGGTTCTGTTTTGTGTGGAAGCTAGATAACATAGCTAGCACTTATCTCACAGAGCCTGGACAATGAGGAAGATAATGGCATTTGACTTTCACATCCCAAATTCTAGCTAAAAGGACTCAAAAATATTCCGTTGGTAAGTATAAGGAAGACAAGATTTCTCTATTTAGCTACCATCACATTTCTTTGTGATAAGTTTTTTAGCTCTTGGAAACAGTTTAGGTTTTAAATGAATGACTTTATTTGTAGCAAAGTAAATGTTCTGCAGCCATTAGCACGGGGTAACCAGCCATACTCAGCTTCCACTATTTGTGGGGCAGGAAGCATGCCAAACTAGTTTGTTGGTACTTTCATTCTCCATAAACTCTAGAAACTCACTTTTATAGTGAATGAAGTGTTTTCAATATAGTGTCCATAAAGCAGGTGGCAAACATTGACTTTTCTAAGGAAATAATTACACGCAGGTGGCAAGTTGGAGAAGCCCTATTGTATATATAAGTGTATCCCAGAGAGTTCTTGTGATGTATTTTCTAAGGACAAAGTTATACATATGATAAACAGTGACCTAGCAAAACAGAAATAGAACAGGTAGGAAATGAGAAAAGCTGACATTTCAATACATTTCAAAGTTATTTCTCGGCTGTTTGAAGTAATTGACATACATGTGAAAACAAAAGTATTAAACACATAATTTAGTTATTTAACCAAAAGCTTTGTCTTTCACTGTATTGGAGGTTTAGTATACAGAGATGAATACCATGTGGATCGTGTACTTAGGAGTGTACAATCTAGGGAAGAAAATTTAGCATATAACTCAATCATCAAACACCATGATATGGATGAACTTGCCCATGAAATATGTATTGTGAAATTGTCATTTAGGATGCTGTAGATTACATCATAGAGACTCCTTTATTTAACAGTTGGAAATAAATACCTCATAAGACATAGGAATAGGAATAGTAGGCCCTCAGAACAATTGGCTTGGGTTTACATTGAGAATTCTGAACAGTATAACTGGTTTCTCTTTCTCTCTTTTTTTTTTTGTTTTGATTAGTTACACATGACAGTACAATGATCTTGACATATCATACATTTGAATCAGATGGGATATAATTTCTCATTTTTCTGAGTGTACAGGTTGCAGAATTACATTGGTAATGCAGTCACATATATACCCAGAGCAATAATAATGTCTGTTTTATTCTGCTGCCCTTCCATTCCCCCATCCCCTCCCCTCCCCTCCCATCTCTTTTGGCTACCCAATCTAATGTGACACACTTCTCAACCACATAACTCTAGTAAACAAATAGGACCCTCTATTACCGATTTTGCCTATGACCTTCCACCCAGATTCAAGCAACTTTACCCCAATTTTGTTTATTTGTTGCCATTGTTCTTAAAACATTCCTTAAATTCTCTTCATGATGAAAGATTTAATAATAAAATAAAGTGCAATGAGAGAGGACTATCAAGGTTTTATGAGCACCCTGGGGAAGAGCATCACACAGACTGGGAATGTGGCTGGAGAAGTTAAGGAAGGAGTTAGGAATAAACAGGAAAGGTATCACAATAAGAATGACAATAACATCATTGGCACTGTGTGTGAGGCAACTTTCCATTACTGTAACAAAATACCAGAGATAGTCAACTTAAAAAGACAGACAATTTCTTTTGTCTCAGAGTTTCTCAAGTTTCAGTTCATGACAAATTGGCCCCATTGCTTTGAGCCCTTTGGTAGCATAATACATTACAAGTACAGATCAAGGCAGAGTTCTCACCTCACAGCTGAGAACTAAAAGACCTAGAGAGAAAGAAAAATGGACCATCGCCCCGCAGTCTCCTTCAAGGGAATGCTCCAAAATGATCTAAAACTTTCCGCTAGGCCCCACCTCTTAAATCTTCCACCACTTTCCAAGAGCACCAAGTCAAGAACCAAGCCTTCAACACAGGGTTTGCTGGGGCATAGCCAAGGACCAAACCATAGGAAGGATATCAGTGCTTCTCAAGTTTAAAAATTTTCCCAAGATGCCACTCTTAGCCCCGTCATCTTGCTTCAGGTGCTGCACCATGGATATTCTGAATCTCACGTGCAGGAGTTTTGATTAGGTTTGAAACCCTTATCTAAGGTTTGAAAGGTGAGAGTCTTTTTAGGCTATTGCCTGCTGGTGTAGCTCCAAGTACGTCCAAAACAAAGGGCAGCTGGGCGAGGCAGCCCACGGTGAAGCTAGTCAATACGTAAGGCCGAGGGAGGGATGGCTCCTTTCTGGGCAGCAAGACGATTATGGAGGACTTTACTGAGGAAGTTACCTGATATTGGAGAGAAACAAAGAGAGGCTTCAGACTCTGGCGATTTTGAAGCAGAGTGGTGTCTGTGTAGTGAGGAGGCTATGAAAGCACATGCCCTGGCCCACTGTACACCACAGCCCTGGGGTCTCCTTGGTGCACAAGAGCAGGGCAGTAGTGTGTTACTCCCAGTGGGAAGTCATTTTTCCTAGAGAGATCTACCTTGAACCCCATATCGGTGAGTCTGATTAACAAAAAGCATTGTTATAAGCACCCCTTTCCTAAACCACACCAGAGGCAATTAGAGCAAGGTCCCAGTGCTTTTAAGGTCCCTCAATAAAGCCTTTCTTGATGGCAGTGATGGTGGTGATTAAAATGCTGCTAGTGGTGATTAGGATGATGACAATGTTGGTAACAGCTGCCGCTAATTATTGAGCATGTCCACTCTCAAACCCCTGTGCTAACATTCATTAGTGTACTTAACCCTCACAACCACCCCCAGAGGAAGACAATAGTATGCCCATATTACAGATTAAGTCACCAAGACTCGGTTTTAATAACCTGCCCAATGTCACACAGGTAATTAAGTGGTAAAGCTGGGATGTGGATACAGGACTGATTGAGTACCCAGACTATGTGACAGACAGCTCTCCTGCCTGCCTCCCACAAAGAATTATGTATTGCAGTCACATTGTATTTCTGGCAACCACTTTTCTATCTTACCAGATACTATCAGAGTTGTAATAATAGAAAATTGATTGTTGAGGTTTGGCTTCTTACATCTCTCCTTTTCGTTGTATGCTTTTAGAAGACACGATGAATGGTTTGTTAGGTGTGCCTGTGTGTGCACGTGTAGGTGACATGTGTGCACTTGCCAATGTGAAATAAGACACTGAAATTAGAAAGTATATAGAAAAGAGGCCCTCTGTAGAAATCGACATGATGGCCAAATCCCAGAATTTTCACTCATGAGGCATATAATTGAGAATGTCATTCAACCTCTCTTGTGTATCAGTCACATTGCCTTTAAAATGGGAATAATTCGAATTCAAGTTCATGGTGTTCTGCAGAAATATTATATATAGTAATTATCACAGAGTTAAAGGCTTAGAAATTGCCAGTTCCTATTCCAACCCCTCTGGCCTCATCATGCTTTTACGATTTAATCCTGTTTGTGCAAAGAACCAAAATCAATGTCCAGGCCAGCCCTCTCCTGGGACATGTGTATCCCAGAGAAAGAGCATCATGGCCACCAGTACTAGACAGGGTTGCCATCGGTTTCTACTCTGCACCCAGATAAAGTTTAAACAGCTTGTTATATAGCAATACATTGTTTTCTGATATAAGCCCTCGGGTAGCTGAGCCACAGTGGCTTCCAACCACTCTGTGTCTCTTGTCTTTAAGTCTGCCGTCTCACCATGTAGAAAGAGAACACTCTACTTCTGATTGATTTCAGCATCAGTCTCCTTACAGCTATTCTCTAACTTTCATGAGTATCCTTGGGAATTTCTCCTTTTTATAGTTAGCCCTTCAAGCCAGGTCTAACTATAAAAAGTGTGGATTTGAGTTGCTATAACAGTGAACTTATCTCACCTTTATCCAGTAAAGTATAGGGGACTTTACAAGGCTTAGAGGATATTCTTTTCTTCAACACTATTCAATATAAACTTCATTTGTTGGCCATTGTTTTTTTTAATGCATGAAGCTCATCTCAAACTAACAGAGTAGACCAGAAAGCCAGTGCACATTCTGGGGCCTTTGGCTGAACCAAGCAAAACATAAATACAATAACAATAGAGCCATTGAAAACTCTGCACTCTTCACAGAAATGTGCATTGTGCATAAGCCAGCTCCATCGGAAGCCTGACTGCGTGCTGGGTGACGCCCTTGACTGTGATCAGATAAGTTGTCCCTTAATCACCTGCTCTCTGTAGTTGGCCACATATGTATGTTCTCTTAAATGACTTTGCCCCACTGCTATCCTAATTTGAAATTTTCTTTTTTAGCCACATAAATAGAAGAACACAGTTTGAAAATCCTGTCCTGGAAGCAAAAAGGAAGCTACAGCAGCATAACATGCCCCACACAGAACTTGGAACGAAGCCCCTGCAGGCCCCAGGTTTCCGAGGTACTGTACCATGTCAGCATGCGGTGTTGCAAAGAAAAGTGGTCTGACAAACTGTCTGCACTTGCAGATTTGTGGGTAGCTTGGGTCATTGCAAATAATTGATTTGCTTTCCTCAGACCCTTCTATTAGCTTTAGCTGGGTGTTTGCATTATTTCTAAACTAATGCATTTAACAACCACAGATTAAGTTAAAGCCTCGGGCAGTACCTTATAGGAACTTACAGCGTGTTGCCAGGTGGAGATTAATGGGTTTTGACAGTGCTTCTATAAACTGCAGAGATTCATAGAGACTCAAGTTTGTCTTCTGAAAACTAAGCATAAGAATGAGGCTTGTTCTCCTTTGTGACAGTAGCCAGCTCCTCATCGACATTACCTAGGCCCAAATCCATGTTCCCTCACACTGCCCCGGAGAGGTCGCGCAGCGTGAATGATTTGTCTTACTATCGCCGCGACCACGCAGGGAGACCATGGTCCTTCGGTATGTCCCAGGGCAGCTTGCAGAACTGACTGTACCTGAGAGCCACGTAGTGGGATGAGTGGCTGCACAAATGTTCACGTCTTATGGGCTTCTGTTCATTAAAAAATAAAAAAAAAAAATCATGCTTTGAAGCCGGGCGCGGTGGCGCACGCCTGTAATCCCAGCAGCTCGGGAGGCTGAGGCAGGAGGATTGTGAGTTCAAAGCCAGCCTCAGCAATGGCAAGGCACTAAACAACTCAATGAGACCCTGTCTCTGAATACAAAACTGGGGCTGGGGATGTGGCTTAGTGGTTGAGTGCCCCTGAGTTCCATCCCTGGTACCCCCCACCAAAGAAAAAAATCATGCTTTGGAGTCAAGAGCCTAGACTTGCCTGCTGCTAAGGTTCACACTGAGCACTGCAGCACAGTGAAATGAATGTAAAGGTCCTCTCGGGAGCGTCTTTCCACTTGTAAGCATTGCTGCGGTGAACATAGGTGAGAAGATTGTATATGGATTTTTTTTCATTTATATTTTAAAGAAACTCTGTTTTCAATAAAGACATACCTGATAGGTATGTGAACAGAGATAAAGTAAACTCCAATATAATGACTCACTGTTTTACAATTTGTTTATTATATATCACCCAAAATGTAGCAACAGAAGTATCATACAAAATAGTTATCAAGTCACATCATCCAAATGCAACTAAAAAGAGTGTCATAAAATACATAGGTGAGGTTTAAAGGAGATGCTAATTCTGTCTCTTATTCTGACTGTTATTTTCAAAGCATTTAATATGCTTAGAAACATATTTACTACAGGTCACAGATCATAGCCAGAAAAGCCTATCATATAACAAATTAGTGGGCAAACTAAATGAGGGGGCTCAAGTTCTACTCAGAATTTAGGCCCATGATTTGGATGTGTGGACATATTGTTACAAAATGTGTTACCTTTACATTCATAATTCTATCTAGAAGTATCAGCTCAGCTTGCTTTTTTCTCACATTTTAGAGTGTACTAAACACATTTGGGTCACCATAAATTTACTTACCTGATTATCTTTATAGCATTTCACAGTATAGGGGTGTAAGCAGAAATGAATTCAGTCCCACATCCAGGTATTCTCTCTAAACAATTTGGACCTTTCAATAGGTGGTCATAGTCTACTGCTTCTCTATTTGTGATATCTGTACATGGTTAAATGCTGTGCCATTATTCTCTAAGACAACAACGAAGTCCATTTTGGTTTTCTACCTCTATCTCTTCAAGGTTCTGTGCAGGACCCACCATTCACATATACCTCCTACCTGGGTTCTTTCATAACTATAAGAGGAACATATCCAGATGTGTCTGGATGATTTGGGCTCTTTATCCTTTATCTGAAGGCTCTGGCAGCCTGATGATAGAGCCCTTTTAAAGTACAAGAAAGCTAACTAATGAATAAAAATGCTGACTTGACAAAAAGTCTCTTGAAAACCAAACAGCCTTTGCATTTTCCCTGGATGTTTGGGACTGCACTGCATTTGTAGAAAGTTCTAGCAGTCTGCTCCTCTTGCAGCCACCACCTGTTTGCATTACTGTGTAAGACCCTCACTCACCTCCACCCCTGGGATTGCTGCTCGTTGGCTGGTTTTCTGTTGTCCCAAGAACTTTCCTTAAACATGCTTTTTCTTTTTTAACTTATATTGGCCAATGTAGAAAAACCACTCTTCACCCGGGATGCATCCCAGTTGAAGGGAACATTCCTCAGCACCACCCTAAAAAAGAGCAACATGGGTTTTGGATTTACCATCATTGGTGGAGATGAGCCTGATGAGTTTCTGCAGGTGAAAAGTGTGATTCCGGATGGGCCTGCAGCACAGGATGGAAAGATGGAAACAGGTAAGTTCCTTAGTGCTTGAGAAAATAGTTCTGCAATATCATTTTTTTTTTCTGGAGGCAATTATATGGTGCTACTTTTGTGTGTTTAATTCAAAAGTTCTCCTTTAGGAAAACCCCAAGTTTTCTTTTTTCCTAAACTTAATATTATCAAGTGGAAGTATTTTGGAAACAACTTTGAATATAATTTTTGTCTTATTTTTCACACTGCCACTTCTGTTTGTTGGAGTCAATGGACTCTTGAGATTGACACTTTCCTAATTCATCTCCAGAACTCCTTCTTTGGGATGTGATTAACATTTCACACTTTTCTAACTTAAGTTCAGCCACCCATACTTTTAAATCTATATTAATCTTGTAATATTCTTGTACTAAATTGCCCAGGTTAGATATTTAAATATGCATGCCCATCTCATAGAGAAAAAATTTTAATGGCATTAGTCTTTATATGTACCCATACAATTTTCTAATATGTGGGGTTTTTTTCTTAGTTCTTACAAATTAATTTTCATATACAATTACTTAGATGTCTATCTATCTCTAAATTATAACTGAAATTAATTTCACATGGAAATATAGAAGCAAATTGTTAAGGAAAGAAAAATGTGAAGTATAGAAAAGTGCACAGAGTAGAGGAAAAAGTAATGAACTAGGTCTGATTTCACAGTCTGATTTTAAATTCTCCTACCTGGCCTTGAATGAGTTCCATAACTTATAAATATTAATTTCTATATCTAGAAAAAAATGAAGAAATTAAATTTGATCTTGTGCATTTAAAATGCCAGTTCAAGAGTTTAATAGTGTAACTTCGTAAGCCTTAGAATATTATACAGTAATTATATCTCCAAAGATATATAATCAATCACCATTTTTGCATTTTCTACAATGTTGATTTAATTTTTGATATCATCTTTCTAAAGTATGTGGCTCCTATTACATATAAAAATTAGAGATTCGATTTGGGTGTATAGATGACTTTATTGTGACCTTTATGAGTTGTTCCTCTGTGAGCTTCAAAGGGGTTTGTGTATGGAGAAATATAAAATTGAGGTCTTCATCTGACACTTTTTATTTAAAAAATTATCAATGCTATCTTATCATTTATTAGTTTCTCCATAAATAACTTTTTTCAAGATGTCCTTGTGAATGTATTTGACACTGCTGCTTACTAGTGAGTAATAATGTATATTTAAGGAGATGGTTCATCTCCTTAAAAGTTGAGATGAAGTTTCAAAACTAACTCACCTTTTGAAAACAACTACTATTGTAAAAATCACATACACGTAATTTTCTGTAAGAGTGAGTTAGAAAGTGTCCAATTCCCCTATTCATCTGGTGATATTTTATCCACACTGTCTCTCTGCCAAAAAAAAAAAAACCTCAAAAACATCAAATAATTTAATTTAAAAAATGTATTGCCTACAATTAGATAAAAGTAAAGTCTGGGATTAATACTACTTTAGCAGAAGGGAAAGGATCCCCAGGGCTTTTGAACTTCAGCGAAATATTTGACAAATCCATTTCTTTTTAAAGAACCTAATTATTTTTCTCTGATAGAACCCAGTATTCCATTTTTTCAAAACTAGAAGGGCTTCTTTCAGTGTAAACTTCAAAGACAAAATAAAATAAAAATATTTTCACAGCAAATCTTTTTCCTTTCTAACTCATTTTACTACTTTGCCACACCCACACCATCTAACTTAGCTTTATTCAACAATGAAGTCAAAGATTTACTTAGAATTTCACCTGTTTTCTTCACTGAGGAAAAAAAAATCACAAATCAGTTTCTAATGGAAAGAGAAGAACCCAGGATTTAAGTCTATGCACTCTCTCCTCTTTGGTCTTCTGCTGATGCATTTAACAAATGCTTGCTAAGCAGCTCCCTTTCATAGTCATTGCAGTGCACATGCCTGCAAAGACAAAAGTGACATGGACCTCTCAAGGAGGTTACATCTGGTTGGGTGGGGAGACTATCAGACACATGAGCAAGAAATTGTGACACGTAATGGGTCTATAGTGCCATTCTGTTGGCACAAAGTCAGGAGTCAGGGAGCAAGCATCAGAAAGTTTTAAAAAGAAAAGTGTGTTGCTTACTCTACAATTGTGTGAGGCTTTTATAGTGATGGCAATTCCCTCATTGGACAAGAATTAATAAAACAAAATGTAATTCTTCCTAAATATTGCAAAATGTTTAACTTTTACTTCGAATAGGGAGATTATTTAAAAACAAATGTCAACACATTTCTGTGACATTCCACAAGTTATAATAGAGAGAATGGCTCTGCAGTTCAGCAAATATTTAGTGACTGTCTGTATAAGCCAGACGTTCTGTTAATTAATAGGGATGCAAAACCAGAGAGACCAACTGTTTCTGTCTTCAAGAAGTTTACGGTGTAGAAATAATGAGTGATCTCTTAATGAATATTTATATTAATGCAACAATAAAAATAAGTACTTAAGGACAGAAATAGAACAGAGCAAAGAAGGGACGGCTTTATGGGGAGATGCTTAGGGAAATCCTCATAGAGAAGATGATGTCTGACAGTTCTGCATGATGAATAGACATTTGCTGGATAGACAAGTGAAGAAGGCTGTTCAAAGAGGTAACAGCATGTGCAGAAGCACAGTGGCGGGAAGACCTAGGAAAAGGTTTATATGCCATCACAGTGCATATTAATGAGTCATCTTCAACATGTCTTTATGGTAATGTAGCTAGTCAAATAATAACCACAAGGGGTAAAGGGTAACTATTTAGACTTGCAACAATAATAAAAAATGATAAATTGGAAGGGCAGCAGAATAGAATAGACAATATGATTGATGTATGTACATTCCATGAATGTATTATATGTGAAAATACATTCTGCTGTCATGTATGACTAAAATAAAATAAAATAAATAAAAAATAAAAATAAATCATATGGCAAAAAAAGAAAAAAAATGATAAATTGTTATAGCCTCAAATAAAAATATAAATGCACATATACCTATATCTAAAGCCATTATCATACATTTTCAATGAGGAATTAGGCATAAAGCTTTACTCTATGACTGCTGTTTTGTTTACATGTACCTCTAGAAAGAAAATAGCACTTGGCAAACAGCAGGTGCTCAATGAGTATTTAGATGGATGGATGCTCTTTATAAATGAAGAAGTGAAAATTGAATGAGTTGAAATCGGAAGTCCTCCTTTTTTTTTTTTTTTTTTTGGTACTGGGGATTGAACTCAGGGGTACTTAACTTGACATCCTCTTTTATAACAGTCTATTTTTTGGTACTTAGTTGAGGTAGTCAGCATTGGAGCACAAAACAAATCTGCTTTCCAGTTTGGGGATGAAATTTAAAAGAAAATATATGCTAAGGACAAAATCATGTTTCTTTTTTGTAGAGACTTCATATAAAAAATAAACTTCAAGAATTACCAAAATAAGAGACACTACAGATAGGTAAAAAGATAAATCATTGAATCATTGATATTTAAAATCTGAGCAGTCTCATTTGACATTGAAACATGAATAAAAATATTTCAGTTAACTTTCCTAGCTTTAGAAGGTCTTTAACTTAGATGTCAATAGTTTGTTGGGACACAAAGAAAAAAATCTCCTGTGCTGAAAAGTTTACCTAGGGTCTTGCACAGGAGAAACAAGGAGGGCTAGGGAATTTTCTCTTTCTTAGTCAGCCCTGACTCTTGGGAAAGAGTAGAGGACAGGAGAAAGAAGGGCAGTATGCTTCTGGCTGCTTTTTGACAACTAATTGAGCTGATTCCCACTGGTACTACAATATTCCAGAAGAAGGTTGCTCAGATGAAATTAACATGAAGCCCAGAAACCATCTAACTTCTGATTTTAAGTATTCTACACATTCAAGTGATCAGGCACCAGAGACCTGTTAACATTCTTTAAAGTATTTTAAAAATCAAGTTTGATTTAACTTGACTTGCATAGAAGCCAGAGTCTAAAAGATATTTATATAACATCCTTCAGCTGAAAAGCATTCCTTGCTACATGATGTTTCCTGTTTTACCCCAGGCTAAGTTCTGAATCAAGGTTTGTGGTTGTCAACACATGTAGAGAGGAAAGCTGACCTATCCGTGACGTTCTCCCAGAGAAGGGGGTGGAATTGCAAAGTCACTCACAATCTGTTAGTTTTTATTTGCCCTTTAAAAATATTTACCCGTTTTATTAATAAGATCAGAGCAAGCGTTCTTAAAGTTAAATATGGTGGCATTCTTCAGCCTCTGGCATTTCTTCATTTGAGCAGATCTCTGTTGCTGCTCTTGTGCTAATTGCTACTTCAATGTCTTTGTAAATGTCAGGGTCCAAGTCCAACTTTGTCAGAACCAATTGGGAGGTTTTTAACAATGCAAATTCCTATGGCCCCAGACCTGCAGGGACTGGTGCTTGGGAATGTGCACTTATATACTTTTAAAAATTGTCAAAGCTAGGCACACACATGGTTTAAAAAATAGCATCAAGGGTTGGGGATGTGACTCAAGCGGTAGTGCTCTTGTCTGGCATGCATGCGGCCTGGGTTAGATCCTCAGCACCACATACAAATAAAGATGTTGTGTCCGCTGAAAACTAAAAAAAAGATAAATATTAAAAATTCTCTCTCTCTCTCTCTCTCTCTCTCTCTCTCTCTCTCTCTCTCTCCCTCCCTCTCCCCCTCCCCCTCCCTCCCTCCCTCTTAAAAAAATAGCATCAAAATATTTGTGCTACATAAAATATTGCCTGCCCTGTCCTGCCCCTTCCCACCCTCCAGGCCATATCCCAGATGCAATCAATTTGTGCTCTAGTCGATGTTTCTTTTGGTGGCTACCTTCACTCTTCTAATTAGTGCACTTACATACTATTGTCTTAACAATTTAGAGATGACCTGTATTTATTTCTTTTTACAAAAAATAGAGCTTTAGTTTCTATATACCCTATCTTCCCTCCCACATCCTCTCAATAAGAGTTTTGCACCTAATTTGATAAAGTTTATATAGTTTTTGCATTATTATG